CCCCCGCCCTCCTCCCCTTCCACCACCCCTAGTTCATTTCCCAGAGTTAGAAGTCTTTATGTTCTGTGTCCCTTTCTGATATCTCCCACACATTTCTTCTCCCTTCCCTTATATTCCCCTTCACTATTATTCATATTCCCCAAATAAGTGAGAACATACACTGTTTGTCCTTCTCCGATTGACTTACTTCACTCAGCATAATACCCTCCAGTTCCATCCACGAGTAACCCACACTATTAATTAAAGAAGAAAAACCTCTACATGATCATATTAATTTATGATTCAAATGGTATTCCCTTGAAACACATCTAGAATTGGACTAGAAAACAAAGAGGCATATTCCATTATTCACAGAACTAAAGGTAAGAAGGCAGGAAGAATCCAATTTTCCTTAATAATGGAGACAGACTTCTGCACTAAGGGACGGGGAAAAAAAAGCAGGAAACCTGGGAGGCAGAAGATCTGAATTTGAACTATTGCTCTGTCATTAAGTATCCTACAAAAGGCCTTTTCCATCCTAAATCCATTTCCTCAAATGTTAGATGAAGACTATAATCTTTATCTCACAGGGTTACTGTGATGGCAGAATGAAGTTGTGTATGTAAAAATGCACAATACATGGAAGGGAATTAATAAAATTTAAGCTAACGAGCAAAGCCTTTTCAGAGCTTGTAAATATGAAGAAGTTGAATATATTTAGTCTTTGAATTTCCTATAATTGTTTCTCATTTCAAATTAGTGAACCGGAACTGAATGCTAGGAAGCTGATGTCTTTCTGTCCTTTTCTTTGATGACATCATCCAACTCATGAATTTAGAGTTTTATACCTAGCCACACTATCCACCAAGGGTGAAGTAGAATGAAGACAGACTCAGATATGCTAGGACTCAAAAGTTCTAACTGCAGTGCACTCTTAAGATACTAAGGCTTGTCACAGTATATGCTCTGGGAAACCCCAGGGCTGTGATTCAGACATGTCTGGGACTGTATTTTAGCCCCACCTGTTACAAATTGGAGGCAAGTCACTTAATGTCTCTGAACTTTAGTTTCCTAAATTTTAAAGGGGGATGATGCCTAATGTACAAGGTGAGGATAATGTGTATAAGGCAGGTAGGTGCTCAGCAGAGATTCATTCCTTCCTTTCTCTCCTCCTTAGCTGTGCCCAGCACAATACAATAAGCTAGCAAGTCAAGGGCTTCCCTCTCTTCTTGCCCTGAATTTGTATTACAATCTCTTGAGCCTGGACCTCCTCAAAGATAAAAATCCATGTGGACAGAGGCCCAGGAAGAACTAGTTCTCAGCCTCAGAGCTGTGAATGAGACATCTTGGGACTATCTAGCCTCACTGAGACCAACTGTCAGATGACTGCAGCTCCACAAGGGGTACCAGACAATTCCAGTGACCCCCAGAATATGAGCAATCTGGTAGATGCTGCTCTAAGCCACTTGGTTTTGGGGTGGTTTTCTATACAACCATCAAAAACTGATACTGCCTGGCAGGGAGGTTACTACCATGTTCATTTTACAAATGAACAAAACTGAGGCTCAGAGAGCTTATGAGACATACCCAACATCACATGCCCAACTTGGGACTATCTTGCAGTGCCTTTAAGTCTGGGTCTCTGGTCAGGGTCCACCAGGCAAGGCCCTTTTACATGCTTTCCTTTCGCAGTTGCTCTGAAACTAGACGAAGTACCCAGAGGCCTTCACTAACTAATGGCTGTCAGAGATTTTTATCACTTTCAGAACAAGTAACTGGGTTCTTCTGATTGTGTGCCCTCTTTTCCTAGTGTGTGTATGGCATGGGGCTACATGTGCAAATGGATGATGAGCTTCCAGATTTAGGGTGGACTTATTTCCTCTTTGTCTTCCTTCTGGGCAGTATCTCTCTCCCCCTGCTCCCCATGTGGGCTCAAGCACCCAGGACGGCAATGATGGTGATGGTTAGACAGGGCTATAAAAACCCCAGCAGCAGCACTTCAGGAGGGATGCATTTCACGTATGGTATTTCAGAGGGTCTCTGGAGCAGGAGCAGCAGAACAGAACATCTGATTTCTCTTATGGGCATGGAGAAATTGCTACACTTTGATTTACAAGTATCAGAGGGAAATAGTCCTGCAGTTGTGACCTGCTCTTAAGTGTGCCCTGCTCACAAGCACCTGCCTCTGCCTGGGTGTTGGCTCTTCACTGTGCTTGCTGAGTTGATGTCTGTGGGTTCCACTCTCTTTCTCATGAATCTGACATTCAACAGGAAGCCCATAACCCACCTTGCCTTCCTGGGGTCTTCAAGGGTGCCCTGCTTTGTGATCACATACTTTGGGGCATAAGTCCTAAGCAGCCTGTTCATGGTGGCTATCCAGCTGATAGTCTGTCCTGCCTGGATGTCAACCTGGTCTACACCCTTCTCCTTTGGGAACAGTGGACATGCATGTCTGCCTCCAGTGTTTCTTGCTGGGGTTCTGCCAGTGAGCCTGGGGGCCCCTGCTGTGATTTGTTCAGGAAGAAGAAAGAAAGAGGGCCAAGCTCATTCTTGAGTCAGCCCCTCAGTTGCTTCCAACCTCAAGCCCCAGAGATGCTTCACATCTCTCAGCAAAATGTAAGAAGAGATACCTCTTCCTTTTGTCCAGAGAAGACTGAGGCAAAATGTAGAGATACTGATAATTCACTAAAAAAAATCTCTCTTCTAGACTTCTGATCTTGAAGGGAAGGTGGTACTTCCATGGTAGGGGAGCCCTTCCTGGAGGGAGGAAATATATTGGTATTCTCTGCTAGCTTGACCACATGAGAGTGATCCAGAAAGAACAGAAAAGTGGAAAGACCCAGTGAGAGATTAAAAGCTGATATCTCATGCAGAGCTCACACACATTTACAAAAGTAACATGTCAGTACCAAAATTACCTTGTTTCTAGCAGCTCCTTGCCTCCTTCTGGGATTTACCTGCTGCTGTGGGATCCAGGTGACCAACCTAAGCCCAAACATGGCCCTGTGGGCTATAGACATCAGGATAGAAAACTCAGAGCTCTGACAGGGAAGGGGCCACAGGAGTAGGATTTGAGCCCCTGGAATTATTAAAAAATTCAGGAGAAATTAGCCATGAGGGCTTGGATGCCATCCTGAAGAGTATTTCCTTGCTGTAGTCTGTGCAAATGGACAGCAAAGAGGGGGTGCTCCCAAGGTCCTGGGAGGTGTCAGAGTCCCCACCGGCACTGGGTGTTGTACACTTCTCCCCAACACCTTCCCTGAAGGAAGAGGATGCTGGTACCTCATGTGATGCTTATCTGCTCCCCAAACCTGTTTGTCCAATTAGCAGTAGAGGGAACTAAAAAACCCCAAGGGATCTCTTGGGGGAAAATAATATCTATCTTCTATCACTCTATCATCAACTGAGACCAAACTGATAGTTTAAGGGGTCCTGAGAGGAGGCGGGACATTTGGAGGTATGTGATCCCTATTGTTGGGACACCAGAGCACTCTTCTTGTGAGCTTGGAGAGTGAGTAGCTGGTTCAAAGCCCTGTCTCTTCCTATTCTCCAAAGCTTAAGGGAGTAATAGAGGACAAGAGCTGCTGCCCATCACCAAGTAGGCCTCTTTGCAGTGGTCCTGCCCTGACTGGGTTGGCAAACCTGAGTCCCTTGGGAGGGAGACAGGGATGAACACCAGAAACTCCATTCCCTCTGCCCTCACTGATCTCTGAGCCCTCTTGGGTCCCAGGGAGCAGGAGCAGAAGCTGAGGCAAGATCAGTGGTGTGATCATGGGCCAAATGCCTCCTGGATGGGGGGACTCAGGGGACATAGTAACTAGTGATGGGTCACTTACTATTATTATTGTCCCCCCACCCCCTCACTCCTGAAGACACACTGGGCTAGAGCCAATTCTCCTGCATCTATGAAGTGTTTGCCCCTTGGCAGGTGCCAGAGGAAACAATGAAAGGGATGTATCTAATTCCTTAGACACATCTCAGGCATGACTCAGGAGGGATAGAAAAGCAGAATGTGGAGTTTTCAAGAATAGATCGAATCTTTAGAATATTTGTTCCCAAATGTCCTAAATAAGATAGACTCTGGTGCTAACATGTGACATTGTTAAAATAAAGTGACAAAACAACCCTTTGGGAATTGTGTTCATGGGTTTACATACCAAACGGCTTGTCTTTGAGGTCCTCAATATAGTGTCAGGCCTGGGAAGCCCCATGCCTGCTGTTGGTGGCTTAGGACCCAGATGCTAAGATGTGGGACTGGGACATACTGCCAGCATGGGCTGTCTGCCAGCTTCTGATCCTTTCTTGAATTTTCTCAATGTCAATGCTCAGGCTTTCTTATGTTTGGCTGAAACTCTCTAGGGGTGACAACTTGGCTCTCAGCTTCAATAAGTATGAACCAAAGCACACATCTGTCTTTGAAATGCTGGGGCCACAGGTTTTGTGGCTGTCTTGTTTGGCCACAGTCTTTATTCTCAAACTGGGACATTTAAGTTGTGTCTGCAGAAATAAGCTACTCCCTACATGTGTACCAAGGCAAAACCTTTGACATCCGTGGAGCTCACCTGGGAGATGATGGGCTCACTTAATGACTTTTTTCGCTCAGTGTGACTTCTTGAAGCCAGAAATTAAATAGATACTTAGTTGGAAAAAATCCAAATCCAGGAGCTTGAGGCTTCTGAGCCTGATGAGTACAATAGCAGTGTACAGGACCTACCCTCCTATAAAATGAGTCCCCTCCCCACCAATGCCTGCAATGGGGAAGGAGAAACACTTGTAAACTCCATGCCTCTACCTGCAAGATCCATGTGGAAGCTACATAAACATTCCCCAAATATCTGGCAGGAGTCCAGCCATGCCCCACAACTCTGCCCTGTGTCCTTGAGGACAGCCTAATGTCTCAAGGGAGGAATCTTTTTATATCCTCCAGCTTGGGGTTACCACATGCTCCCTCGAACCACTTCCCATACTGGGTGGCCAGGAGCTTAAGGTGACCACCGGGGAAAGTGAGGGACAGCACTTACCCCCCGCCTGTGCCACCATTCTTGCTGAAGTGCGTGCGTGGCTCGCTGGATGCCAATTTCAGCAGCTCCGTCCACTCCCGCTCCCATTCCTCTTCAGTGTACACCAGCCCTGACTGGCACAATGGAAGCCGGCTCAGGAGGTGGTGGGTGGGCCTCCTTACCCGCCCCATCCAAGTGAGCCTGGCATCCCTGTTGGACCCCCTGGCTCAGTCCAAGGCTGACCAGCACCTAGGCTGGTCACACCTGCTAGTGGCCACTGACTGTCCCCATTTTCTATCAACAATATTTCTTCAGAACCCATAATCTCTAATTTCAATGCTGTTGGGGAGTCTACCCAGCAATAAGGGTCATTCCCAGGGGTGAGAATGACTGAACATTGATCTGCACACACAAAACTTGGGGCTGACCACTGAAAAGTTTAAAGGAATGATGGGCCACCTTCAATCAGAAAGTAGGCAGATTCTTCCTCTCGGACAGCAAAGTGCTAATGTCTCCCATTGTTAGGATGATTGGGATTCTCTTTGGATTGTGAACATACACAGGAGCGGAGGCTGTAGGTTGTGCCAGAACCAGCTTGTGGCTACACCCAGCCTTCAAGCCACCACCAGTAGTGACCAGACATAGGTGACTATAATTTGTCATTAAGCCAGGACACCTTTTGACAGAGAAGATGATTGGTTTTCATAATTATGCAAGGACAGGCATTGTGAGTAGACATGTAGTGACTGTGTGCCAGGGGCTGAGCTTTCATAATGGGCACCTCTTCAGTTGGTTTCAATGGGGGAGGCTTTACTAGTCACAGAAGCCATTGCTCTCTGACGTCACAAGACGGACTTGGCCTTGGGGCCCAGCTCTGGACTCTACTATTGCCCATGGCTGTGTTTGGTGTGGGTCTCAGGCTTTGAACACACCAGTGGGTACCAACCTCCTTGTTCTGCTGCGTCTGTTGCCACCTCCACCTCCGCTTTAGGGCTTCCCTTTCAGCCCCTGTCCTCATCATGGTGTAGAGAGCTTTCCGCAAAACCAGGTCCCGGTCGTGAAACCCCCACATTCCTGTAGCAGGAGGCCCATGAGGAGCAGAGGAGAGAGACAGGATGTGAGGATGCTGACAAGCCAGGAGGTGACTCAAACTGCCACAACTTACCGGGCCTGGTCTCCTGCATCTGCACACACAGAGATAACTTATCAGTCAGCTGTTCATTTCTCATGATTAGCTAGCAATTCCCCTCTGTTCTCTTTCCCCGTTTCCCATTGAAGCAAGTCGATGAATGAAGGAGTATGTCCCCTTCTTAGAGAAACAACAGTGGGTAAGATCATATGCTTCCTCTCTCTGGGACCCTTGGCAAGCTCTTTTAATCTCTCAGGTTTGCTTTGAGGGACCTAATATTCACTGTCCAGGTCTTGGATTTAAGTGAGAGATAGTCTCTGTGAATAAGCTGGTCACGTGTCCTCACATAGGGCCTCAAGCCAGGATGGCAATCAGACCCTGGTTTCATCTAGGGTCTGCCATATCTAATGTCTCAGCCCTAAGGCCTCTCACCCTCCTCAGAAGCAGAGCATCAGTGGACATCACTGCAAACATCTGGACCCAAAAGAAAGGACCTGCTTTGGGAGGGAGAAGATCTTTGTCCCTTACCCCTTCCCCAGGCTGTGCTGGGTGTTAAGGGGTTATAAGCAAAATAAGCCACCTCTGAGTACATTTTTAGGACAGCTCAGAAGTGGTCAAGACACTCAACAAATGGAACAAACAGTAATGAGAAGTGCAGCTCTGGCTATGGGGAAAGAGTAGGGGAAGTCAGTCCATCCATCCATCTATCCATCCATCCATTCTATTTAATTAAATGGCATTAATTCCACTTAATTAATTCTAAACTTACTTCATAATAGGGGTGAGACACCATTCTGGGTTTTGGGAATACCCATAGCAGCAGTCAGGACAGACTAAGTTCCTAAGATCTCGCAGAGTGCACACTGAGGGAAGGTGAAGCAGTCATCAAATTAGCATATAACATACCCCGTCAGGGGTGGAGCACCATAAGAAGAGATGAAATGGGTCCTCAAAGGGACAGGATGCTGGGTGATACTGGCCATGGCATGAATGGAGACCTTAGGATATAGACTCAAGAGGGTGAAGGAGGGAGCTGAGTTGCCATCCCAGGCAAAGGGGAAGGCCATGCCCAAGGGGTGCCCACCTGTCATACTTGAGAAACAGCAAGTGGGAAAGGTGGCTGGAGAGAGGATCAAAGGGACAAAATGGAGAGTGAAAAGGTGGACTTTTAAGTGAGCTGGGAGCTTCTGGAAAGCACTCAAAAGAGGAATAACCTGCAGTGACCAAATCTTTAAAAGTTCAATCTGGCCATGAATCCTTTAGTGCAAAGATATGTAACAACCAGGGGTTGCTATGGGCTTTCCATCAAGTGAGGCTTTTGTCTTTTACAACACAGATGGAGGGAAGTGGCCATTAATGCTCTTTTTATAAATAGGCCAAGATGATCTTTCTCATCCTTCAGACCTGCCTATAGTGGCCTCTCAGGACTCTCCCAGGTAGGGCAAGTCCAGTCTCAGTTCTCATGACTCCTCGTTTGGGTCTCTCTTGCAAATAGGGTCTCCTTGCCCCATAAATATTTGCTTACAAGCCTGGCTCTAGGATTTCTGTCATTTCTGTGTGTGCCCTACAATCCTAGGTCAATATCAGGCCTGGTCAGCAGGTTCAATAAGTATTGCTGGTCAGTGTTGCATGGCTCCTTTAGTCAGTCAGGTCAAACAACTAAATCCCATGAAAGGAAAACAAAGTACCAGAAGGAAAGAACTAATTGGCTATGAGCCCCAGACTTAGCCATGGCCCAGTTGGAGCAAGGCTGGCCCACAGAAGGCTTTCTCTTTCCTGGCTGATGGAAGGCCCACTGTGCTCACTGGGAAAATGCCTGCCCTCAGACCAGACCATGGTGGCAGTGACCTGATTTGTGGCTTTGTCCACCTGTAGTGCTGAGGGGAACAGTGCCTCTGCACACTTCAGTTTCTGAAGGACAAGGCATTTTCCTTTGCAGTGAATGAGGCTGTTGACACAGATGAGAGATTTCTTCTCTTCTGTTCTTGCCAAGTTTTACACACAACGAGGTAAAAATGTTCCACCATAGGGGAATCATTTATACATTTTGATGAAATATGACACAACTGCCAAAACATGTTTTTGAAGAATAATAGCATGGGAAATTCACAATAGGATTTTAAGGGAAAAATGCTGGATTCCAAACTGTGAACATAGTGAGATCATAATTTCACTGGAAGAATAAACAAAAGATAATATACCAAAACATTAGAAGAGGCCATTTATGGGTGATGAGATTGTTGATTTTTATAGTTGATACAGGAGAATCACCTGGGGACTCATGCATAGGCATATCATCTTTGTCTATTCATCCAGTGAAATTATGATCTCACTATGTTCAGTTTGGCATTCAGCATTTTTCCCTTAAAACTACCCAACCTATGTCTTTTTGTCAGTACCCAAGTGATTCCCCTGTGATTTACCCAACCTATGTTTTTTTGTCAGTCTAAGTGTATGGACTGCTATCAATGCGGTAACCCCACAATACCCAACCTAATGTACTACTCCCCAAACTCCCTGCTCAAGCCCACGTGAGCTCAGCTCTGCTTCCAAACATCCTGCAAATTCCTGTCTTCATGCTTTTCCATGCAGTCTCCTTACTTGGAATGCCCTCTTTCATAATCTTTCAAGTCTTTCAGATCTCAGTAAAATCTTACCTCCTCCAGGAAGTCCTCTGCACCATGATCTCTAATTCCCATCCCTGCAGCTCATGATTAGGCCCCTTTCTATTATATCAGATCTTTTTTCAAGTGTGCTGTGTCCCCACCAAGTCTGCCAGCTACTTGACAAGAAGGGCTAGATTGCTGGCTATATCCCTTAAGGACTCCTCCAGATGAATGATGGCTCTACTTAGTGTCTGTCCTCTAACAAAGAGCAGAACACACCTGGGGTGCTGCCACCCTTTGTCTCTGTTGTGGAGCTTACCCAGTGAGGCTGCGTGTAAAAGGCAGTTCCCATCCCCTGTAGTGGCCAAAGGAAGAAGCCGTTTACAGCTCGTGCACACAGTGGACCACCAGTTCAGGCGACCTGAAATGAAAACTCACTTTAGAAGAGAATCCTAGAACAGACCATTGTGAGTGTTTGCCAAGTAAGCATAAACATCAGCAGATGATTTTTGAGAGGGCTCTAGAGCACTTCAGTAAGAAGGTAGAGCATTATGGCTACTTTTAAATAAAATACAGATTTTCCCCCCTCTAAGGTAAGAAACTACTACCAAATCCTCCCATTAATTAGAAAGAAGATTAAGAAACCAAAGGGCATGGGATCCCTGGGTGGCGCAGCGGTTTGGCGCCTGCCTTTGGCCCAGGGCGCGATCCTGGAGACCCGGGATCGAATCCCACATCGGGCTCCCGGTGCATGGAGCCTGCTTCTCCCTCTGCCTGTGTCTCTGCCTCTCCCTCTCTCTCTGTGTGTGACTATCATAAATAAATAAATAAATAAATAAATAAATAAATAAATAAATAAACCAAAGGGCAAAGACTTTTGTTCTTGAATCTGGGAACATTTTACACAAAAAATAAAGTTCCTCTTTGCGCAATCTCCTTGAACACAGTTTCTCCTTCTGAAAGTTATTTTTTCTCTTTTACATCATAATTTTATGATGCATACATACCTCTGAAAGTATGGTTTATATTTAATTTAACATATCAAAGCCATTATAGCTACTTAGGTATATTCCTGTTAAATCTCATTAACACAGCTTGAGAATTCTGCTTCCAGGAAGATGGAATAGACATTCTTTCTACTAAACACAACTAAAAATCCTGGACATTATGTAGAAAATAAAACAAGAAATTGAAAAGTGAAGAGAAGAAGCAGACCAGAAAACTTGGGATCTGAGAAATAACATGATAGTAGGCTCCTTGAAATTTATTTTTTACCTCCAAATCTTAGACCAGGTACTGCAGAAGTTGGCAACCTGGAGACACCAATGGGGGTAGACAAAGAAATCATGCTCTCTCTAGATAAGATATCTGGAAAGGAACAACTTAGGAAGACAGATAATAACTGCTCTATTTCAACCAAATGCCACAGAAGAAATTGTAGTCCATCATCACCCCTGTCAGCAGAGGCCTAAACTTCCAACCATACCAGGCAGTAATGAGTCACTCACCACCTGTTCACCCAGTGCCAGATGGTGTCAGAGAAGCCTGAGCACACAGCCAGCACTTCAACCCTGCTGTGTGGTAATATGGATTCCACCCCTTACCAACTGAGAACATATGGGGAACCTGGCCTTTGACACCCATATGGTGGTAATAAGGTCCCCTGTACCCTCCTTGCAAGGGTGCAAGAAGCCCATTCCTTCACAGGTATCAACAGAGGCAGAGTGGAGAACCTGTGCTTCCACACTTATCTGACAGTTATTACCAATTTAGAATCCCAGGCCTCAGATGAAAAGAAAGGGAGAATCTATTAAACCTGTAGTAAAGAATACTAAAGAGATTCAGTAAAGAATACTTTAGGGCACACAGAAGGAATAAAAGGGCTTGAAAGGGCAAGTATGTTGGTAAATGTAAATAAATATTGGCTATTTAAAGCAAAATCAGATGTGTTTTGGGGGATTAAAGTATATGTAAAATTAAAATACATGACAGTGATAGCACAAAACGTGGGAATATGTAATAAATGACATAAATCCTAAGATCTGTACATTGACCAGGAAGTAGTAAAAGTGCCAAATTATGGTAAATTCTAATAGCTCAAAGGTACATTTTGGAAACTGTAAAGTAACCACTAAAAGAATGATAAAAGAATGTAAAACTGACAAGCTAGTAGAGGGGAAACCAGAATAATAAACATTCTTAAATAATTCAAAAGAATATAAGAGATAGGAAAAAAGAGATACAATAAAACAAATAAACAGCAAGATAACAGATTTAAACCAAAATATACCAATATTTACATTAAATGTGACTGAACTAAATACTCTAATTAAAAGATGGAGATTGCCAACCTTACTTAAAAAAACAAGTATATGCTGCTGACAGAAGACACCATAAATATAATGACACAGAAATTCAACAGTAGCTGGATAGAGAAAGATACACCATTCAAAAACTATGCAAAAATAAAGGTGAAATCCTATTGATATCAGATGAAAGTGAATAGGATAAAGAGTGATAATTTCATAATAATAACACAATAAAGTCAAATGGAAAATATAACAATACTTAAAGTGTATATACTTAAGACTTAGCCTAAAATACATATAAAGCCAAAATTGATAGATCCAAAGAAAAATAGTCAAATATCAAATTAAAATTGGAAATTTTTAACCAAACTCTCTTGATAAACAATAGAATCAACAAACAAAAACTTCATAAAGATTAGAAAAACATAATTCAAGAACTTGAATATGTGAACTTGACATATATACACTTCACCCACTGAGTGCAAAATAAATACGTATTCTTTTCAAGTCACATGGAATATTTTCTAAAACTGACCACATAATGAACCATAAAAAAGTGTCAACAAATTTCAAAGGATTTGAAATCATTCACGCTATGTACTCTGGCAATACCAAATATAAGCTAGAAATTGATGAGATAACCAAGAAAAGTAGTCAGCTTGGCTGCTATAACAAAATACCACAGACGGGGGAGCTTAAACAAAGACATTTATTTCTCACAGTCATGGGGGCTGAAAGGCCCAGATCAAAATGCTGGCTGATTTGGTTTCCAGTGAGAACCCTCTTCCAGGTTTGCAGATAGCCACCTTCTTGCTGTGTCCTCATATGGCAGACAGTGAGCTATGATCTCTTCCTCCTCCTCTAAGGACACTAATCCCATCATGGGGCCACCATCCTTGTGACTTTTATCTAAGCTTAATTACCTTTCAAAGGCCCTACCACCAAATACCATCACACTAAGGATCAGTGTTCTCACATATGGATTTGGGGGGACACAATCAGTCCATAATAGTACCTTATTAAGGCAGTTTGTTCACTGAATGTATCTGTGTCTAAAAGGGACCATCCCCTTTCAACTGCTTCCTATGTAATCAGCCAGATAACAGGAGAGGGGTTATATAGACCTGTTTTGAAAATTCAATTCCTCCCTGACCATTTCTAGTCATGTTGCTTCTTTCTTGTCTGTAATGGCAACCCCAGGCTGGCTTGTTTGGCACACTCGGTGGGTGGCAGTTTAACCAAAAGGGAACTTAGGGGATTCAAACTTAATTATGATTCAGTTTTATAAAAATGCTTTTTTCCCTCTTATGGCTGACCTTTGTGCATGAGAAGTCAAGTTGTGATTAGGAAGTGATTGAGAGGGATGCCTGGGTGGCTCAGTCAGTTAAATGTCTACCTTCAGCTCAGGTCATGATCCTAGGGTCCTGGGATCGAGCCCCACATCAGGCTCCCTGCTCAATGGGGAGCCTGCTTCTCCTTCTCCCACTGTGGCTCCCCCTGCTTGTACTCTATAAATAAATAAATAAATAAAATCTTATTTAAAACAGGAAGTGATTGAGAACAAAGGGTAAGTTACAGGCACAATGATAGCATATGCCAATGTTGTGAGGGAGGAGGGGAGGCAAACAACTCTATGTGGGGAAGGAACATCCTAGACCCCAGAATGTATCAGGGAGGGTAGTACATTGATCATGTTTTATTTCTCAGGGCCATCCTGTAGGTTTCTACAAGAAGAAAAATGTTCCTGTGGAATCTCTCAAATGCTGCATATGCCTTAAATGTAACAGCACCCTTCTGTGATCCAGAAGTCCCAGGTTTTCTATCAGCATCCCTGAAGCCACAGAAGGCAAGTTTATTAGCTTTCAAACACAGTAAATATTGGACACATCACAGTTCTTGACACTAAACAGACTTTTCCCAGAAGCCTCATAAAATAGAAAATAGAAATAGAAATAAAATAGAAAAGTCTATATCCATCAGGGGAGGGAGGTCCCACAAAGACAACAGGATACTATTGGAAGAACAGGAATAAACATCAAGTAGCCTGGGCCCTACCAGGACTGAAACCCAGCCTCAACTCAGTGGTCTGTGACCAGAGTAAGGTAATCATCAAGGAAAGGGTGAGCTCTTCCTAAAAGAGGACAACATCATTTGGAGCATCTGTAATTTTATTTATTTAATTAATTAATTAATTAATTAATTTATTTTAAAGATTTGTATTTATTTATTCATAGAGATACAGAGAGAGAGGCGGAGACACAAGACACAGGCAGAGGGAGAAGCAGGCTCCATGCAGGGAGCCCGACCTGGGACTCGATCCTGGGTCTCTGGGATCAGGCCCTGGGCTGAAGGCGGCGCTAAACCGCTGAGCCACCCGGTCCGCCCGAGCATCTGTAATTTTATAACATTACATTACATATACAATATAAAGTAAATAATTTCTAGAATTCAAGCAAAAATTACTAGGTATGTCAAACCAAACAAAAACAAAAAATGAAAACCAACCAAACAAAAAATACCTCAAGAGTAACTGAAAACCGAAAGGGAAAAATGAGTTAACAGAAAAAGACACTCAGATTATCCATATTTTGAAGTTATCTGACAGACACTTTCAGTCACTATAATTATTACATTCAAGAAAATAGAACAAATGGGGCAAAAGCAATATTTGAATAGATAATCATCAAGAATTTTCCAAAACTGGGACACCTGGGTGGCTCGGTGGTTACTTCTGCCTTTGGCTCAAGGCAAGATCCTGGAGTTCTGGGATCTAGTCCCCAGTAGGGAGCCTGCTTCTCCCTCTGCCTGTGTCTCTGCCTCTCTCTCTGTGTGTCTCTCAGGAATAAATAAATAAATTCTTGAAAAAAAAAAAGAATTTTCCAAAACTGATGAAAGGCACAATTTTTAGAGGGTCTGAAAATTCCAAAAAGAATAAATACAAAGTAAATGACATATAGTGAAGCTGCTGAAAATTAAAGAAAAACTCTAAAAAGCAGAGAAAAAGGAGAAATATTACATACCAAGGGGAATAATAACAGAAGCCTACAGACAGTGGAATGAGAACATCAAAGTGCCAAAAGAAAATAACCTACAATCTAGATTTTCTACCCAG